GGCTTTCATGCCTAAGGCGGGACTAGAACTCACCGTCTCCTGGTGATTGGCCCAAAGTCACCCAGCCGGCTTTCATGCCTAAGGCGGGACTAGAACTCACTGCCTCCTTGTTCCTAGGCCAACATCTTAACCATTACACCAAACTGGCTGTTGGCAATTTCTGCAATGGAATTCCCTCGTTGCAGGGAGGAAAACAGTAACTCCTGAAGACATGTCCAACCTCCAAGATCTGGATTTAATGCTTGCTGTTGTTTTCTCTGCTAGCAAAGGCACATCCATGCTCTCTCTCTTACACACACACACACACACACACTTACCAAAAGCTCGCTTGGATTCCGACAGCCTCTCCTCATCGGTGGAGTCGATTATATAAATGATACCATGGGACTCTGCGTAATACTGAGGCCACATAAAAAGCAAAACAAACTGGAGTCGGTTAAGGGAGCTTTAAGCTTTCACACGTTACGTCGCAACCCTTCAGAACGTCTTCGATGTTCCTTCTGGACTTTGCTTCCATTATTACGTTTTATTCTTTAATGCAAATCTACATTAAAGCATGCCTTATGATTAAAACCCTAAAGTAATACCATAAACAATAAAAAATGTTAAACGTTGAAAATTAAACGTTTCAAAAGTAGGGTTCTTGTTTATTCTTTTAATGTTATGTGTGGTATTTTAATGGTATGAGTGTAAGTTGCCTAGAATGATCTCGGCAAGCTGCGTAGCATAGTCAGACGAAAGAGAGACAGAGAGAGAAAGAAAAAGAAAGAAAGAAAGAAAGAAACAGAGAGACAGATTCAAAGAAAGAATAGAGCCATCAACATTCAAGATAACTTAGAACTGGGGTGTCCAATCTTCACAACTTTTAACACCTGCAGCCTTCAACTCCCAGAATTCCGCAGCTAGCATGGGGAATTCTGGGAATTGAAGTCCATAAGTCTTAAAGTTGCCAGGGTTGGACCCCCTGGCCTTTTAGAAGATATTCCCTACTTACAAAAACCTCTAATACTAAAATATTGTGAGATCAGCACTCCAGTCATTACCCATATGGAATTAACCACTGAAATATGTCAAGAAACCAAAGAAGGAACAGTAAAATTAATCAAACTAGAGCTGGAAGGGACCTGGGAGGTCTTCTAGTCCAACCCCCTGCTCAAGCAGGAGACCCTGTACCATTTCAAACATCTACTAATAACTTAGTTAGACATATTAATTTATTAACACAGTTCATATCTAACTGAGCTATGCCAACATATCTGGAGAGTATCTCAATAGCTAACGGACTGGAAAGAGTCAACATTTCAACACCCCCAAAGGAAACTGTACACAGGTTGGTGCTCAACATACAATCGGTTGTTTAGTGGCCATTTGAATTTCTAACAGTCCTACCTGGATTTGGATTCAAACTTCCAACGGTTCTGCCCCCTCACATTGCGGTCACGTGACTGAACACTAGCGGCGCAGCAACTGGGTCACATTTACCACCCCTTGCAGCGTCCAACAGTCACATGAGAATGTTTTTATAATGATGATGATGATGATGATGATAATAATAATAATAATAATAATAATAAAGTTGGAAGGGACCTTGGAGGTCATCTAGTCCAACCCCCTCATCAGGCAGGAAACCCTATACCATTTCAGACAGATGGCTGTCCAGTCTCTTCTTGAAAACTTCCAGTGTTGGAGCATTCACCACTTCTGGAGGCAGGTGGTTCCACTGGTTAATTGTTCTAACTGTCAGGAAGTTTCTCCTTAGTTCTACGTTGCTTCTCTCTTTGGTTAGTTTCCACCCGTTGCTTCTTGTCCTGCCTTCAGGCGCTTTGGAGAATAGCTTGACCCCCTCTTCTTTGGGGCAGCCCCTGAGAGATTGGAACGCTGCTATCATGTCTCCCCTCGTCCTTCTCTTCGTTAAACTAGACGTACCCAATTCCAGCAGCCGTTCCTTCTATGTTTTAGTCTCCAGTCCCCTAATCATCTTTGTTGCTCTTCTCTGTACTCTTTCTAGAGTCTCAACATCTTTTTTACATCGTGGTTTATGAAACTGATATTTACGTCCGGTTTCATCAAAATGGCGTCCATAATCCACCACTGATTTGTTTAAGGACCGTATAGTTCTGTAGTCGTATCTCTCCACCTTACCTTGTCCCAAAGAGATTGAAGCTCTTCCTGTCCCCCTAGGTCCCAAAACATCAGCCGAGCTTTCCCGACGTCTATGGTGCCAACTAGGAGATATAAGCAGGACAATTCAGTGCGCACGTGTTTTTTTTCTGCATTACGACTATTCCTCCTCCTCCTCTCCATAAATCTCACTCCCTTCCAGCACTGATGATGTTACCTAGTTGGGTCATGAAACGTCTGCAAGAAAACAACCAAGCTCAGAGAGCACCAAGGATCCCACAGTCCTATTCCTCCTACTACTACTACTGATGATGTTCCCTAGTTTGGTAATTAAATGTCTGCAAGAAAACAACCCAGTTGATTTGGACCTCACAATCCTATTCCTCCTCCTCCTCTCCACAAACCCCACTCCCCTCTAGTACCGATGATGTTACCTAGTTTGGTAATGAAACGTCTGCAAGAAAACAACCCAGCTCAGAGAGCACCAAGGGCCCCACAGTCCTATTCCTCCTCCTCCTCCTCCTCCTCTTCCTCTTCCTCCTCCTCCTCCTCCTCCCACTGATGATGTTTCCTAGTTTGGTAATGAAACGTCTGCAAGAAAACAACCCAGTTGTTTAGGACCTCACAGTCCTATTCCTCCTCCTCCTCTCCACAAACTCCCCTCCCCTCTAGCACTGATGATGTTCCTTAGTTTGGTAATGAAACGTCTGCAAGACAACAGCCCAGCTCAGAGAGCACCAAGGACCCCACAGTTGAGAGAGATTCCCCCTCAATATGAATGCATATTGACTGGGTTACATTTTTGTCTCCTCAGCATCTGTTGGGTGACCACCTCAGCTTTGTGTAATGCCAATCCGTGGCAAATGTTCGGTTGTCACTAACTCGCCTTCGCCCACAATCGGGATCAACTTACTGTTCAAACCGACAGTGGTTGTGATTTTAGATAAACTCATCCCTTTGTAGGTCTTGTTGAATCTCGTTTTCGTCTGTTCAAGAAAGGTCTGGAGGAAGAAAAAAAAAGAAAGAAAAGGAAAAAAGCAAAACTCAAATTGTTTGTATTTGTTGACTGCTGGGGAACCGAGAAAAAAAAAACAACTGCAAATTCAGGATCTTGAGATTAAGCAAAAAGGAATCTTGTCGTCTCAGAACAATTTATTAATAATAATAAATTGTTAAATAATAAATTGTTAAATTAAGAATAATTTAATAACCATTTAATAATAATAATAGTAGTAGTAGTAGTAGTAGTAGTAGTAGTAGTAGTAGTAATAATGAATAATTATAAAGAATTGGAGAAGATAACAAAATACAAAGACCTACAAATAGAAATAGAAAGACTGTGGCAAAGGCAAGCAAGGGTAGTACCAATAGTAATAGGCGCCTTGGATGCAATCCCAAAACAACTGGAGCACCACTTGAACACCATCATCGGCATTGACAAATTCACCATTAGTCAATTGCAAAAGGCAGCCTTACTAGGAACTGCTTCCATCCTGCGACGAGATCTGTAATACTATCAAACATCCACATCTGCCTATCCCAGGTCCTGGGTAAGGACTCGATAGGTAGACAAAAATGTGAAATCTAGTCTGAACATCTGGCTGACTGTGCAATGATCTATAATAATAATAAAAGTTGGAAGGGACCTTGGTGGTCATCTAGTCCAACCCCCTACTCAGGCAGGAAACCCTATACCAGGAGTAGGCAACCTTGGCTCTTTTATGACTTGTGGACTTCAACTCCCAGAATTCCTGAGCCAGCATGGCTCAGCATGGCAACCTCTCCATTTCCCCTCAGCATGGCTGGCTCAGGAATTCTGGGAGTTGAAGTCCACGAGTCATAAAAGAGCCAAGGTTGCCTACCCCTGCCCTATACTGTTTCAGACAAATGAATGTCCAATCTCTTCTTAAAAACCTCCAGTGTTGGAGCATTCACAGCTTCTGCAGGAGTTATGACTAGGAATAAACCAACACAAGCACGGTGAAGGGGAGGAACCCGGGAGATTTTTCCCATTTCTACGAACAAGCCTAGATACACACCGTTTTTCCAGCATTGTCCAATCCCAGGATTAAGATGCAGTATTCATCTCGCCGGAACATATACTTGTAAAGCCCGGAAAGCAGTGTGTACATTGTGCTCCTGTAAACAAAGACGACAAAAAATTTGGTCAGCCAAAAGATCTTTGTTTTCCCCCCTGATACTGCTTCCTGATCCAAACCTAGGCAAAAATTTCCCTCGTAAATGAAAAGAAACGGAGACTTATCGGAGATTCACCAAATGATGGGGTGGTTATTTTCCCAAGACTTTCTAAAATAAGGGAACTGTGTGAGCAGAGTAAGGTGTTACTTTTATATTTATTTATTTGTATCCCAGCTTCAACCACATCTAAGGTGCCTAAGGTGGGACTAGAATTCACCATGTCCTGGTGACTGGCTGAAAGTCACTCAGTCGGCTTTCGTGTCTAAGGCAGAACTAGAACTCACCGTCTCCTGGTGATTGGCCCAAAGTCACCCAGCTGGCTTTCATGTCTAAGGAGGGACTAGAATTCACTGTCTCCTGGTGATTGACCAAAAGTCACTCTAGTGGCTTTCATGCCTAAGGCGGGACTAGAACTCACAGTCTCCTGGTGATTGGCCCAAAGTCACCCTACTGGCTTTCATGTCTAAGGCAGGACTAGAACTCACAGTCTCCTGGTGATTGGTCCAAAGTCACCCTACTGGCTTTCATGCCTAAGGTGGGACTAGAACTCACCATCTCCTGGTGATTGGCCCAAAGTCACCCAGCTGGCTTTCATGCCTAAGGTGGGACTAGAACTCACATTCTCCCACTTTCTGTTGCCTTTCTTGGTCTAGGCCAGTGATGGCAAACCTTTTAGAGACCAAGTGCCCAAACTGCAACCCAAAACCCACTTATGCATCGTCGGGTGCCGGGTGGGTGTGGCCCATTGGTTGGATGTGGCCCATTGGGTGGGCGTAGCTGTGGTGGTAACGGTAGACCGGGTAGGACTAAAAAGTTCAATCAGTCAATTCCAACTTTGCAAGATCTTTTTTTTTCCCGTGAGAAGTTGAAATTGACTGATTGATTGAACCTTTTTTTTTTTTGCACATGACAGCAGAGGCCTAAAGCGAAAAGGTTTTATAAAACCCAGCTGAAGACCTAGGACTGGGGCGACGGCGCGCGTGCCCACAGAGAGGGCCCTGAGTGCCGCCTCTGGCACCCGTGCCATAGGTTCGCCACCACTGGTCTAGGCCCAAAGTGATTATACAGGTGTTATAACTGACAACTCATAGCTTACAAAGGTAGTAAAATTGGGTGCCTCTCACTTAACAACTGTCTTGCTCTGCAAACGGAAATTCTGTTCTCAACTGCAGTCATAAATGGAGGACTGCCTGTAATCTCTTCTGTAATTTTAGAGACCTACCTTTAACACACTGGAAAAATTGGTAGTAAAACCAATTCTACGTGGCTGTCAAGGAAACTGCATGGACACTTCCGCTAAGTGTGAAGTGCAAACTTGAGGGAGACGTTATGTGCATAAAACCAGAGTACCGTACACATGATCGAAGCATGTACAACAGGTGGCAGCAGCTACCAGTTTTCAACTGGCCTTGAAAAACTAAGTATTGGCCCAGATCAGCAGGAGAGAACCATCACAAAAGATACAGTATTTGTATATTATTGAATTATTGACCAACTCAGCCGCCACATTGCTTTTCAAATATTTAAATGTAAAATTAGAAAATTAATTAAAAAAAAATTCAAGAAAAAAGAAAAACCCAAGGCTAGAATTTCCCTCGCAAAGCAGACTTAGCAGAAGTAACACAATTGTTGCCTCACTGCTCAGAAAACAACAATGAATGGATCCGGCAGTCATCAGCAGTTGAGCTAAATTGCAAATACTTCAGGGTTACAACCAGCCTACCATTTTAATCCCTCAGCATGTAGCTAATCACTCGGTTCATCATCGTCTTTCTCACTCTTTAGGGTGCGGAAAACCACAACGGCACCCTAACGAGGAAGAAAAGGTCCCATGGCAGGTGGTGTGGTTTTCCTATTGTGTAGCAGGCATCACCTACACAGTATATATCTTCTAAACCAGAAGATGTGGCTTCTTTTGTAGATGTGGCATCTGAACACAGCCCACGTTGTTTTGTCGAGATGGGGGGGGGGAAAGGGGGAATTATATTTATTTCAAAGTCTTTTTTCCCCCCTCTATGTCTGGAAAGCGAAACGCTACCGGCGTTCGTTCAGGTTCGTCACTGCTCAGATGCTCGTTGACTTTCAGCTTCTACTATGATTAAAAAACAAACGCTGTATTTGTTTGGGGGAAAGTGTTTAGGCTGCCTTTAAAGATAAGAGATGGCTTACGTGAGCCATAAAGTATAAATGTGTAGGGTATGGCAGGGGTCCCCAACCCCCGGTCTGTGGACCGGGACCGGTCCGCACAAACAAGCAAAGCCCCATCCGTGGGATGCAGGCAGCATACAAAACCATGCACCCTGTGGTCCACGGAAAAACCTTTCTCCACAGAACCGGTTCCTGGTGCCCAAAAGGATGGGTACCTCTGATCTAGAACCCTTAAAAGAGGGTTTTACGGAGAAGCTGCAATTTTTGACACTTTTTAAATGGCTTCTGGCATTTGCTTAACAACTATTGTTGTAGTTGTTGTTAATTGCGAAGCCGTGTCCGACCCATCACGACCCCATGGACCACGTTCCTCCAGGCCTTCCTGTCCTCTACCATCTTCTGGAGTCCATTGAAGCTCACGCCTACTGCTTCAGTGACTCCATCCAGCCACCTCATTCTCTGTTGTCCCCTTCTTCTCTTGCCCTCCATCTTTCCCAGCATCAGGCTCTTCTCTGGTGAGTCCTTCCTTCTCATTAGGTGGCCAAAGTACTTGAGTTTCAACTTCAGGATCTGGCCTTCTAAAGAGCAGACGGGGTTGATCTCCTCTAGGACTGACCGGTTGGATCGCCTTGCAGTCCAGGGGACTCGCAGGAGTCTTCTCCAGCACCAGAGTTCAAAGGCCTCCATTCTTTGGCGCTCAGCCTTTCTTATGGTCCAACTTTCACAGCCATGCATTGCAACTGGGAAAACCACGGCCTTGGCTATACGTACTTTTGTTGGCAGCGTGATGTCTCTGCTTTTTCATATGCTGTCTAGATTTGCCATAGCTTTCCTCCCCAGGAGCAAGCGTCTTTTAATTTCTTGGCTGCAGTCCCCATCTGCGGTGATCTTGGAGCCCAGGAAGATAAAATCTGTCACTACCTCCATTTCTTCCCCATCTATTTGCCAGGAATTGAGCATTCGCTTAATGACTGCTGCCAAAAGAAAGGGTTATTAAAATTAGGCGTGGACGTGTGATGACCTGCTTACTGACCATGACAATTTACAACTATGATTCCAGAGTGAATTACAGCTGAGGACTATCTGTGTTTTGCCTGCTTTCTTAGGGTTTGCACTACTCCAATTGTATACTGGTCAGAGTTGGTTTTCAAACAAAATGGTAAACTAATATAATTAAAATACAACTGAAAGGCAGAATCAACAGCTTCCAACCCACGATGCTAGAACACTACAAACAGGCCTTTTTTTACCATCCATTTGAAGGCTGAACTCTAGATAGCTTAAAGTTGCGAAGCTGGTCTACACAGTCATCAGAGCGCGAAAGAGCCACCTTTTACTGTTTTTTTAAGATGGGCTCCAAGATCACCGCAGATGGGGACTGCAGCCAAGACATTAAAAGACGCTTGCTCCTGGGGAGGAAAGCTATGGCAAATCTAGACAGCATACTAAAAAGCAGAGACATCACCCTGCCAACAAAAGTACGTATAGCCAAGGCCGTGGTTTTCCCAGTTGCAATGCATGGCTGTGAAAGTTGGACCATAAGAAAGGCTGAGCGCCAAAGAATGGAGGCCTTTGAACTCTGGTGCTGGAGAAGACTCCTGCGAGTCCCCTGGACTGCAAGGCGATCAAACCGGTCAGTCCTAGAGAAGATCAACCCTGACAGCTCTTTAGAAGGCCAGATCCTGAAGTTGAAACTCAAGTACTTTGGCCACCTAAGGAGAAGGAAGGACTCCCTGGAGAAGAGCCTGATGCTGGGAAAGATGGAGGGCAAGAGAAGAATGGGACGACAGAGAAGGAGGTGGCTGGAGGGAGTCACTGAAGCAGGAGGCGTGAGCTTCAATGGACTCCAGAAGATGGTAGAGGACAGGAAGGCCTGGAGGAACGTGGTCCATGGGGTCACAATGAGTCGGACATGACTTCGCAACTAACAACAACAAGATGGATTTATAAGTGTTACAAAGCATACATAAGACTTTAATAAACTAATTTTGTTTGCATAATGCATTATTCCTTTTTTTTTTAGTTGCAGTTTCTCAAGAGGCTAGCAAATAATGGTGTCTGTGCATGGGGGGAAAGCCTGACCTACTGAAATGTAGGCCCTGCAAAAATGAAAAAAAGATATTTTTTCTTTCTTTCAGTGGCTGGGAGAGGGGAAGCTGGGCTAGGCTGAATTTGGAGCCTGAATCCTTCCAGCTTCCTTTAGAAAAGGCCATATCACTCCACGGATTAGGGTACCAGGCAGGCACCCCCCCATACCAAGACAAAGAGAGCTCCTGAGCATGTGAAGAGTATTTTACATTTATATCCTATCTTTGAGGCAGCATAAATAGAAATCTCTCCCCCGACATTCGTACTTCAACAAAGCGGCTACACAATAGTGGGAGAACCAAGAGATCATCTATTCTAAAGAAAGGGGGGGAAGGTTACCTCCCTCCATAAATATTTGGATGGGAGACCACCAGGAGATCCCACTGGAAGGGAAACACAAAACATTAGCCCAGCTGGATATATCCTGCTATTATCGTTATCGTTTATGTAAATGTATGGGTTGCCCAACGTCTGCTGGGAAGTGTCAAGTGGGCCCCTGAGCATGCACAGAGTTCCTTTGCCCGAGGAACCTCAACAAGCCGCCTCTGGGTCCAACCCACCCAGATGACTTCCCCACCGGCGCGATGGGGATTGTAGTCCCGCTTTCCCCTTCGCTGTCCCCGAGGCGGTCGGCGCTGGAAGAGACTTACCGGGCACTTTACAAAAGGGGGGCGAATTCGGTTAACGGCTCCTACTCGCCGCCTTCCTTATGGGCTTCTTCCTCAGTCTGCCCTGCTCGTGCCCAGGGGTAGCCTGGGAAATGGAGTCTCCGTCCCCGCCGGCGACGGCCTCCCCCTGCCTGTAAAGGACCACGATCCCCATGAGCCTTTGCGCCACCACGCCGCGCCCTCTCCCGCGTCGCCGGGCAGGAACCATAGACAGGGAAAGGACAGAAGAGGGAGGCGGAGCCATTTCCGGTCGGCTTCGCCGGACACGAACCATAGACAAGGAAGGGGGGGGAAAGAGAAAGAGGAGGAGCCATTTCCGGTCGGCTTCGCCGGACACGAACCATAGACAAAGGAGGAAAGAGCAAGAGGGACCATTTCCGGTCGGCTTCGCCGGAGAGGAACCATGGACAAGGAAGAAAAGAAGAGGGAGGCGGAGCCATTTCCGGTCGGCTTCTTTCTATGGTCATGGAAGCCTCTATAGAAGACCGGAAGCGGAGGCGGATTCAAGGGGGGGGGAACCATCATGGCGGTCGTCGGGTGCTAAAAAGGGGAAAAGCTGGCCGTCGTTGGGGCGGGGAGGTCGTGCTGGTGAATCGCTTTCCGTCGCTTGGGTGGCGCGCGAGAGCTTTCGCAAGTCTCCAGTCGGTCCCCGTCCAGAAGCCCGGGACTACAACGCCAATTGTCCTCCATCCTAGTGGACCCATATGGCTGTGGATGATGGGAGATGAGTCCAGTGCTTTCGGTGGGGCTGAGACTTCCCTCTTTCTGGTCTGAGTTAACTGCAAACGAAAGGTCTAGCTTGGAAGGAGGCATCTTCCTAACTGCTCGCAAATCCTTCCCACCCACCCCTTTTTGGGGGGGCTGGAGCTTTTCCGGTTGAATTTCTGCCTGACTCAGAAGCCCAAGCTCCCTGCCCAGAAGAATAAAAGAAAAAAAAACCATCTATTTTTTTTCTCCGTGCACAGAGACAAGTTGGAGTTGCCACTTTTTTTTTACTGCCTTTGCTCCTGTGCTATTAACAGCAGCCGCTTAAAAATAAGAATATGCTTTTTAATCCCTTCATATCAGGAATTATTTCACTGGCTGTTCATTAAAAGGCGCACCAGTAGCAGAAGAAGAAGGGTGGGAAATTATACCTTGGTTGCAGTTTTTAATCGACACTATTTGGATTTTCTTGTTCTTTTTTTTTTTTTTTTAAAAATGTATTTTATTAGATTTTATATGGGTAGGGAAAAGGTAGGGTCGGTGCGGGTACAGGAAAATTGGGATAAAGGGGACAGGGTGTGGATAACTACAGTAAATACGTAATCCAGCGAACAAGCTGTCGTCCGGGTCTTCATATTAAGTATTATTGTTTATATAATACTAGACATTTATAAGAATAAATCGGTATAGTTACAACTGACATTTGGTAAAACACTAATATTCCTTTAAATAATTAACATAGTTGATAACAGCTATTTCCAATCATCAACCTTAATACTTAATATAATAAAACTCTAAAATCTCTTCTTCTAACGTGTTTCAACCCACTGATAAAATTTTCCCCAGGTTTTATAAAAGATTGAATCTTGTTTCTCCTTCATCTCTAACGTTAATCTGTCCATTTCTGCACAATCTTAGGATTTTCAAAATTATAATCTCGTCTGATGGTAGGTTCTCATTTTTCCAAAATTGGGCAAATACTACTCTTGCAGCTGTTAATACATGTAATATTAAATAATCATTTTCTTTGCCATAGTTAGGTCTTAATATACCTAACAGGAACAGTTCCGGTTTAAATTCTATCTGGATTTTCATCATCTTTTCTAACCATCTGTGAATCTTAGACCAATATTTTTTTACAATAGAACATGTCCACCAGGCATGATAATAAGTACCTGGTTTTTGCTTACATTTCCAACATGTATCCGATAAATTTTTAAACATTTTCGCTAAGTGAACTGGTGTCATATGCCATCTATAAAACATTTTATATAAGTTTTCTTTGTATGTTACTGCTTTAGTAAGTTTAATATTTTTCTGACAAAAAAAGGCTACTGGATTTTCTAACTTGGTTTTCCTTTGAAATGTTGATCCTTCTTTCCTAAAAAGACATTTCAGGTCTTTTGTTCCCCTTATGACAGGATTCATAACACGGGGGGCACATTTTACTGCAAATTTCCTGCCTCTTTAAGAAGACAGAATAAATACCTTGGTGCTTTTCAGATGTTGTCTTCATAATTTTTCGATACAGGTAGTCCTCGACTTACAGCCTTTTTTTAGTGACCGCTTGAATTTAAACAGCACTGAAAAAAATGACTCGGGAGCAGGTTTCACAATTACGACCATTGCAGCATCCTCATGGCCAGGTGATCAAAATTTGGGTGCTTGCAACTGGCATGTACTTATGACAGTTGCACTGTCCTGGAGTCATGGGATATCATTTCTAACCTTCCCAGCTGGCTTCCGACAAGCAAAGTCAATGGGGGAAGCCAGGTTTGCTGACAAACTACATGATATACTTAAGAAATGTGACAAAAGAGGTAAAGTGGGGCGCAACCCACTTAGCAACTGCCTTGCTCTGCAAGGGAAATGTTGAGCTCAATTGTGGTCGTAAGTTGAGAACTACCTGTAATACTGCTTTGTAACCGACTCAAGGTCTTAGATGCCATCGTACAGCATGTTTGAAGCTTTTACTGAAAAGTAGTGTAAACATAAAATTATCTGTGTTTCTTGCAGTGAGATAAGCTTGGATGTAAAAAAACCAACACCAACCATGAACTAAAGTGTGCAGTCCTTATTGTTGGATAAATATTGTATTTCTTGGTTACCTGTTAAGCTGAAAATGAACTGAATTCTCCAAGAAGGAGCCCAGCCATGGATGAGGAGAGCTTGGAAACAGCCATTCAGACTTACAATGCTCAGTTGGAGCAAGTGGACCTGGCTTTAGGGGCTGGGCTGGACCCAACACAACAGGCTGATCTAATCCAGCTGCAGGCTGATTTAAGGCAGCTGATCGAACTGACCGAAGCCAGCCTCCTGTCTGTGAAAAAAAGCAAGCTTTGCTCAAGTTTAGACACAGAGGTGCTTTCCACGCCTTCATCCGCTCATCCTCAACAGAGCCCTGGAGAAGCTGGCCGTCCAAACACCGATGACGAATACGCTGCTTTTAAGGAAGCCATTGCACAAATAGACGGAGAGGATGGTCCATTCAGAACTCGGGAGGACAGAGATGGAACGGGTGATGAAGAGGAAGAACAGGAGGAAGAAGAGGAGGAGGAGGAAGAAGAAGAAGAAATAGCTAGTGGAATGAAAGTGAAAGCTCCTTACTACAGTTCCTGGGGAACCTTGGAGTATCACAATGCTATGATCGTAGGTAGTGAGTGCTTGGAAGATGGAGGGCCCGGAGTTAGGGTGCTCTACCTCTACCCAACTCACAAGTCTTTAAAGCCGTGCCCCTTTTTCCTGGATGACAAGTGTCGATTTAAAGAGAATTGCCGGTAAGTAGATCAACTGGTAAGGGGTGGGATTCCTGATATATGCAAGAGGCATTTGTCTCGTTATGCAGGCGACGTCCTGTGGGAACAATCTATATCAGGGGTCTTCAATCGTGGCCCTTTTATGATTTGTAGACGTCAACTCCCAGAATTCCTCAGCCAGCGTTACTGGCTGAGGAATTCTGGGAGTTGAAGTCCACAAGTCATAAAAGGGCCACGTTTGAAGACCCCAGATCTTTTTGATGAGACTACTGTTCTACTATTTTGCTGCTTGGGACATCGCTCTACAAGTTGTCCTCAATTTGGCCACGTGATCAAAATTCAGACATTTGGCAACCGACACGTACCGTGTTTCCCCGAAAAATAAGACCCACTCATGCTCTTGTCACTTCCCGCCTGGACTACTGTAATGCTCTCTACATGGGGCTCCCCTTGAGGAGCACCCGGAGGCTCCAGCTAGTTCAAAATGCGGCCGCGCGGGCGGTGTTGGGAGGGACTCGTCGCTCCCATGTAACACCGCTGCTGCGCGAGCTGCATTGGCTGCCTGTGGCCTTCCGGGTGCGCTTCAAGGTGTTGACCATCATCTTTAAAGCGCTCCATGGCATCGGACCTGGATACCTTCGAGACCGCCTCCTGCCACAGATTACCCCCCACCGACCTGTACGCTCCCACAGAGTGGGTCTCCTCAGGGTGCCGTCAGCCAGACAGTGCCGGCTGGCGACCCCAAGGGGGAGGGCCTTCTCTGTGGGAGCACCCACCCTCTGGAACGAACTGCCCCCAGAGATCAGGGTGATCCCTGATCTCCCTTCCTTCCNTCTGGGAGTTGAAGTCCACGAGTCATAAAAGAGCCAAGGTTGCCTACCCCTGTCCTAGGATGCCACTGAAGGACCCAATGTTGGGTTTAGACCAGGGGTAGGCAACCTTGGCTCTTTTATGACTCATGGACTTCAACTCCCAGAATTCCTGAGCCAGCCATGCTGAGGGGAAAGGGAAAAGTTTCCAAGCTGAGCCATGCTGGCTCAGGAATTCTGGGAGTTGAAGTCCACGAGCCATAAGAGAGCCAAGGTGGCCTACCCCTGCCCTATGGGTTTCATTGTATGAAGAGCCTTGGACACTGGCAGCCGCACCTGGGACAGATAGAACTCTGGCCTAGAATTGGCTACTCTTAATCAGAATAGAGGTGGGAGGGACCTTGGAGGTCTTCTAGTCCAACCCCCACCTCAAGAAGAAGATCCTATACCATTTCAGACAAATAGCTGTCCAGTCTCTTCTTTAAAATCTCCAGTGATGAAGCACCTACAATGTCTGGTGGCAAGCTGTTCCACTGGTTAATTGTCCTCACTGTTAGGAAGTTTCTCCTTAATTCTAGGCTGCCTCTCTCCTTGATTCTCTCCTTGATCGCATCCATATTTGGTTGCTTATTTCCTCTTTTAATAAAATCCAAAGGTGGTCTGCCCAGAGATAACATTTTTTTTCTAGCTTTGCTGCCATATTCCAAGTTTGCTCGCTTTTTTTTTTTTTTTAAAGTTTCCTTGGCTCACTGATTTAGAAGCTTTCGGAGACCTGAAGCGGCCCATTCTTGGCTGTCCTTTTAACTCAGGGTTTCCCAATCTCGGCAATTTTAAGACTTTTAAGATCCCAGAATTCCCCAGCTAGCCAATCACCTGGAGAGTTTGAGTTCTAGTCCTGCCTTAGGCCTGAACATCAGCTGGGTGGCTTTGGGCTAATCACTCTCTCTCAGCCCAATACACTTTGCAGGTTGTTTGTTGTGGGGGAAATAGGAGAAGGAAGTATTGGGTACAGGTACAGGTACAGGTACAAGTACAGGAATAGAATAGAATAGAATAGAATAGAAACAGGAAGAAGATGGAATAGAATGGAAATAGAATAGAATAGAATAGAATAGACAGATTGCAGAATAGAAATAGAAATATGGAATGGAATGGAATAGAATAGAATAGAATGGAAGGAACCTTGGAGGTCTTCTAGTCCAGCCCCCTGCTCAAGCAGGACAAGCTACATCATTTCAGATAGGTCAGTGGTTCTCAACCTTTTTAATGCCGCAACCCCAACCGGTTGTAAGTCGAGGACTAAACCGGTCGTAAGTTGAGGACTAAACCGGTCGTAAGTTGAGGACTACCCAACCGGTCGTAAGTCAAGGACTTTCCCTGCCCGGGAGCGCCACGCATGCGTGGTTCCGCCCCCTGCGCTGGCCGAGGCGTAGCTGGCAAGCGGCAGAGACGGAGCCGGCCGACCACCAGCTGGCCCAGCTCAAGGGAGGTAAGGCACCCGCCGGAAAAGGGGAAAAAAAATGGCGGACAAAAAAAATGGCAGACAAAAAAAATGGCGGACAGCCTTGCTTGGCGACCCCCGTGAAATGGTCGATCGACCCCAAATGGGGTCCCGACCCACAGGTTGAGAACCACTGAGATAGGTGATTGTCCAGTCTCTTCTTAAAAACCTCCAGTGATGGAGTGCCCATGATTTCTGGTGACAAGCTGTTCCACTGGTTGATTATCCTCACTGTCAGGAAGTTTCTCCTTAATTCCAGGTTGCTTCTCTCCTTGATTAGTTTCCATCCATTGTTTCTCGTCCTTCCCTCTGGTGCTTTGGTGAACAACCTGGCCCCCTCTTCTTTGCGGCAGCCCCTCAGATACTGGAACGCTGCTATCATGTCTCTCCTTTTTTTCTTTTCTTCAGACTAGTCAAACCCAGATCCCGCAGCCGTTCTTCGTATGTTTTAGTCTCCAGGCCTTTGATCATCCTAGTTGCTCTTCTCTGAACTTTTTCCAAACTCTCAACATCATTTTTGTGATATGGTGACCAAAATTGGCTGTAGTATTCCAGGTGTGGTCTCACTAGGACTTTATAAAGCGGTCCTAATACTTTGCGTAACTCATCGTTAATTGATTCCGGGCGGCATTGTGAAAACCGAAAACAATGAGTACCAAAATATATTTTTTCCCCCATAAGGAATAACGTAGTGAGTCACAAGGCAGCCAAAAACCGACAAATTCTAGTTTGTGTGCCGAGTACCAAACAAACAATGAGTCCCAGGACAAAAAGTATCAAATTCAATGAGTTTCGAAGGAGTTGAGTCACCAGGTACTCGTGTGTGTGTGTGTGTGTGTGTGTGTGTGTGTATACATACATATACACATACCACCTTGAGTGATTTATAGCGATAATTAAGGCGGAAGGTAAATAAAATGAATAATCTCAATTCTCCTTTCTCAGACATTGACAGCGGTTACTACACGGTGAAATTTGACTCGCTGCTCCTGAAGGAGGCGGTGGTGGAAGGGGACGGTGTCATCCCTCCACTCCGTAGTGAGGAGACCTCTTCTTCCTCAGAGTCCGAAGGTGATGAGTTGGATAGTGCTGGGTATGCTAAAGGTAAAAGATACTCCAACTTTTTTTTACTTTTCCAGTGCCCTGTAGTTACTGCACGTACAGTAGTGGCCAAAATTGTGGAATCCTTTTGGGAAAAGTGTATTTTTGAGGTTTGATGGCTAATAACACCACTTTTTGGGGGGAATAGTATGTATTTTAATATATAGTTACCTTTCTATTGAATTAGCTCTTGTATTACATTGTTTCAAACAAGTTAATAGACATGACATAAGATACATTTCGATATCGGTTTATTGATCTTTTTCCTTCGTGTTGAACGAATCCGACTAGAGTCCATCGTAAGGAAGTAGGCTAACATCGGTTACTCGCACTCACAAATCTCTCGGTTACAGGTGTCATCTTGTTTTGGCAATGAGCCAATCAGATCACAGCAGGATCCAGTTATTGATGTCATGTATTGAAGCTGAGAGGAGGACATTTGTCAGTGTGTTATGTGATGGCTATCAATCTGGTTGGGGTTTTTTGTGTTCTTTCGTTGAGTGAGCTTGCAAAACATCATAAAATTAAAGTCATGGTGCAAAGAGTTGACTGGTCGCCCAGAAAGCGATGTAAAATAGTATTATTAAGTGAACAAGGCTACAGTGATAAAGAAATCAGAAGAAAAATGGGTGGAAACTTAACCAAAGGTGGCATTTCTACTGTACACTTTTCTCAAAAGGTTTCCACAATTTTGGCCACGACTGTATTTTGCTCCTAATCAGCTGCTTCGACCTTCCAAATCCCCCTTTGGCCACCCTACAGGGAGTCCTCGGCTTACGACCACAGTTGAGCCCAACATTTCCATTGCTAAGCAAGGCAGTCGCTAACTGAGTTGTGCCCCATTTGTTAAATGAACCCCTGCAGTTGTTAAGTTAGCAACACAGGTATAAAGCGAACCTGGCTTTCCCCCATTGACTTTGCTTGTCAGAAGGGGGATCACATGAGCCCCCCAGGATTCTGCGACCGTCATAAATACGAATCAGCTGCCAAGCGGCCGAATTTTGATCACGTGACCACGGGAGAATGCTGCAATGGTCGTAAGTGGGGAAAAACGGCCATAAGTCATTTTTTTCTGTGCCGTGGAAATTCGAACTGTCACTAAGCGAATTGTTATAAGTCAAGGACTGCCTGTGCTGCATTCTAAACTGCCATCGGAGCTCTAAAAAGGTGGCTTGAGTTTTGTCTTCAGAGGAAGGGCACCAGATCCCTTGGGACGTGGGGCCCGAAGGCTGACCTCCTCTGTTCATGCACAGAGGGCTTTTTTAGGGTCTGAAACAGAGAACTTGCAAATGGGCTGTTTGTTTAAACAGGTCACTCATTCAAACAATCAAACAGTAAGCAACAGCCTGATCAAGGGACCGCCGAGAACACTCCCACCCACATTGACAGGGCCAGCCACTTATACATAAACAGAGAGCAGACCCCCACTCCCTTCTAGCCCTGATGATGTTACCTAGTTGGGTCATGCAACGTCTGCAAGAAAACCACCAAGCTCAGAGAGCACCAAGGACCCCACAGTTCTCCTCCTCCTCTCCACAAACCGCACTCGCTTCTAGCACTGATTACTTCAACACCCACAATTCCCCAGCCGGCATCCTTTAAGATGGGTGGACTTCAACTCCCAGAAGTCCCCAGTCATCAGGCTTTAAGATGGGTGGACTTCAACACCCAGAATTCCCCAGCTGGCATCCTTTACGATGGGTGGATTTCAACTCCCAGAAGTCCCCAGCCAGTCATGCTTTAAGTTGAGTGGACTTCAACTCCCAGAATTCCTCAACCCGCATGCTTTAAGATGGGTGGAAATCAACGCCCAGAATTCCCCAGCCAGCATCCTTTGAGATGGGTGGAAATCAACTCCCAGAATTCCCCAGCCAGCATCTTTTAAGATGGATGGACTTCAACTGCCACAATTCCCCAGCCAGCATGCTTTAAGATGGGTGGATTTCAACTCCCAGAATTCCCCAGCCAGCATCCTTTAAGATGGGTGGATTTCAACTCCCAGAATTCCCCAGCCAGCAGGCTTTAAGATGGGTGAAAATCAATGCCCAGAATTCCCCAGCCAACATCTTTTAAGATGGGTGGACTTCAACTCCCAGAATGCCGCTTTCCGCCTCTAATCTCTCTCCCACCTGTCTCCAGTCGTTGAATGCAGCATCACGGAGAACGGAGAAGGGACCTCCACTTGCCTTTCGTCCTTCGGCAGCTGGGAAGCCCACACCCGGGGCATTGGCTCCAAGCTTATGGCTCAGATGGGTTACGAGCTTGGTAAAGGTAAGTGTGGGTCTGGGGGGGGGAGAGAAACAAGGTGTGCACCCCCAAGGAGGCTCTTCCCCCCCAATGGATGCCTCAGCTGTGATTCTTCTTGCACACATGCACCCTTAATAATAATAATAATAATAATAAAGTTGGAAGGGACCTTGGAGGTCATCTAGTCCAACCCCCTGCTCAGGCAGGAAACCCTATACCATTTCGGACAAATGGCTGTCCAGTCTCTTCTCAAAAACTTCCAGTGTTGGAGCATTCACCGCTTCTGGAGGCAGGTTGTTCCACTGGTTAATTGTTCTAACTGTCAGGAAGTTTCTCCTTAGTTCCAGGTTGCTTCTCTCCTTGATTGGTTTCCATCCGTTGCTTCTTGTCCTGCCTTCAGGCGCTTTGGAGAAGAGCTTGACTCCCTCTTCTTTGGGGCAGCCCCTGAGATACTGGAACACTGCTATCATGTCCCCCCTCACCCTTCTCTTCATTAAACTAGACTAGTGATGGCGAACCTTGTAGAGACCGAGTGCCCAAACTGCAACCCAAAACCCACTTATGCTTTGTTGGGTGCCGGGTGGGCGTGGCCCATTGGGTGGGTGTGGCCCATTAGGTGGGCGTGGCTGCAGTGATAACAGCAGACTGGGTGGGACTAAAAAGTTCAATCAATTCCAACTTTGCAAGATCTTTTTTTTTCCCCGCGAGAAGTTGAAATTGACTGATTGATTGAACCTTTTTTTTTTTTTTGCACACGGCGTCGGAGGCCTAAAGCGAAAAGGATTTATAAAACCCAGCTGAAGGCCTAGGACTGGGGCAACGATGCGCGTGCCCACAGAGAGGGCTCTGAGTGCCGCCTCTGGCACCCATGCCATAGGTTCGCCACCACTGAACTAGACCTACCCAATTCCAGCAACCGTTCCTCATATGCTTTAGCCTCCAGTCCCCTGATCATCTTTGTTGCTCTTCTCTGCACTCTTTCTAGAGTCTCAACATCTTTTTTTATCTTGTCTTGCCTCTTTCCCTTGCAGGTCTGGGCAAAAATTCCGAGGGTAGGGTTGAGCCCGTATTGGCCGTCGTCCTCCCCAAGGGGAAATCGCTGGACCAGTGCGCGGAGATCCTGCAGAAGAAGAGGGAGGGCAAGTCGGATCCATCCAAGGCCAGGAAACGGAGGCCGAAAGGAAAGAACGCGGTCCGCCTCCGGCAGCAGAACCCGAAGCCGCGTAACGTCTTCGATTTTCTGAACGAGAAGCTTCAGGGCCAGGAGGCTGGCGGGCAGCCGGAAGGGACGCTTCCCCCCCTGGAGAGGAGCAGCAAAGAGCTCTACCACGCCAGCAAGACCACCAAGAAGGCGCTCAGCGTCCGCCTCTTCCAGACCGTGGAAAAAATCGATCAGACCCAGAGGGACATACGGGGGATCCGCGAGGCCTTGGCGCGCAACGTCGGGCGGTAAGGGGAGCGCCTCCGTCGGCGGGAGAGGGCTCGTCCGGCCGGCGTGCTCTTCTCCGCTGATCCTGCCGGGGAGGGGGGGAGAATTAACACCCGTCTCCCGGGTCTTCCCACTTAGGCCAGGCAAGCGAGCAGGAGTCCGTGGTCGGGAGAGCCATACCACGGCTGGTGGCGGTGGCCGCTCACGTCTCTGCCTTTAAAAAAGGCCCTTAGCCAGGTCGGATCCGGGTCCAGAGGTTGGATTCGCCCGACCTGCGGACTCTGCTTGCCGCTCGCCTGGATGGAGGTTTTTGTAGGTTAGCCGGTTTGTGATTTGGTATATTGTGCATACTGGAGAGTGAAGCTAATTTGGTCAGCAGGTGGTGTGAAATGAGGGAGGGAGGGGAGGGGACAGGGAAGGAGAGGAAAGGAAAGGAAAGGAAAGGAGAAGAGAAAGAAGGAGTGGAGGGAGGGAGGGAAGGAGGAAAGGAAAGGGAAAGGAGAAAGGAAAGGAGTAAGAAGTAGGGAAGAGAGGGGAGGAAGGGATGGGATGGAAAGAAGGAGATGGAGGGAAGGAAAGGAAGGAAGGGAAAGAGATGGAGGGAAGGAAGGAGAAGGAAGGGAGGAGAGAGGAAAGGAAAGGAGTAAGGAGGGAAGGGAAGGGAGGGAGGGAGGGAAGGAAGAAGGGATGGGATGGGATGGGATGGAAAGAAGGAAGGAAATAGATGGAAGGGAGGGAAGGAAGGAGGATGGGATGGGATGGAAAGAAGGAAGAAAGATGGAAAGAAGGGAAGGAAAGGAAAGGAAAGATAGAAGAGAGGGAGGGAAGGAAGGGATGGGATGGAAAGAAGGAGATGGAGGGAAGGAAGGAAAGGAAAGATGGAGCGAAGGAATGGGAAGGTTGGGAGGGAGGAAGGGAAGAAGGAAAAGAAAGGAAAGGAGTAAGAAGGAGGGGAGACGGAAGGAGGAAGGAATGGGGTGGAAAGAAGGAAGGAGATGAAGGGAAGGAGGGAAGGAAGGAAGGGAAAGATGGAGGGAAGGAAGGAGAAGGAAGGGGGGAGAGGAAACGAAAGGAGTAAGAAGTAGTGAAGAGAGGGAAGAAAGAAGGGATGGGATGGAAAGAAGGAAGGATTGGAAGGAAGGGAAAGAAGGGGGAGGGAGGGAAGGAAGAAGGGATGAGACGGAAAGAAGGAAGGAGATG